TCCCCCTTAAATACAATGTGTCCCGCCCTTTATCCTTTGATACATTACTCAACCCACCCCCCCCCCCCCCCCCCCTTTCCCCCCCAATTTTTCTTTTAGATAAATGTCAAAAAAAAAAAAAAATCGCGTTATAACAAGGTACACATCTTTCAGAAGAGTCGCACCGTAACCCGCTAAGTGTTTCATCCTGATGATGGCCTTGGAAAAGGTTAGGTGAATGGTAGGCTCTAAGCACCTATCGAGTCATCCATACCCACCCTGGTTTTTCAATAGGTTGCTAAGTGACGCACTTGGGGAGATGTCAAGTGTGCATTAAGTAATTATTCGCTATTGGAAAATCACGACGAGAGTAAGATATGATAGTATTAAAAAAATGTAATGATTTTTTATCTATTTTAGTCCGATAGCGCTGACCCTTTATATGACCTGTGAAGGCCTGGTATCTTCTCATCATGTCGTGTGGATATATGGATATGAGATATTAGCATCATATGAAAATCAGTTCCGTCGTGAATCGCTGCTATTTCTGGTCGTATTTGGCATGGTCTCGTATCAATTAGGTTTTTCCTGAATTGATTATTTTTTTATTCGCCGTTTCCAACTTCTCCCGCGCTTTGACGTCTAGAAGTCCAAACCATTCTCGTAGGTAACTAACATACAGCGTCTCTCTCTCGCTATACTCGACAGGTGGGCCTCTAATCTGCGGCGGTTCACCCTCGTAATCGAAAACAGCCCAGCTGGAGCTCTCGTTCGACCGTAATCCGAAACCTTTGTTCGCTAGAGAGACAACACTGAAATTTCGAAGCAAAACAATGTCGCCATATCGGACTACGGGAAGTGTATCCTTGTGGGGCCGATAAATCAACGCCTCGGCGACCGCGTAAGGTCCAATAGAGTGGTCTGCGACCGTGAACGACATCATGAATTCTCTAGGACCGCCTTTGGCTCGCTGTGGATCTGGAGGTTGCATAACTGCAACTGCAATCACATCAAGTGATTTCGTAAGGTGTTGACGCAAAACCTTTAGGGATGTACAATCCGGAAGCTCGTCACGGAGATGGCGGGCTAGCTGCAGTTTGGCAGCTGTCATAGAGTAGCTATCCTCCTCAGACCTTGGCGTGTGGCTTGCAAGGGAAGCCCTTGCAAGTAATATGCTTGAATCATCAGTTTCGGGTGTTCGGCTGCGATAAGAGTCAAATAATCTTTTGCTTGGACGATATGAATCCGTGGATGCGGCGCGTTTCCTCTTTCTTCTCTTAGAAGCATTAAGTACCCGCGCTAGATGCACACTCGAATCGTTCCGAGTCGATGCATCGGATTCTTCTCCAGAACTATCGCTATTTGCCATGAAGTTTCGCTTTAGTTGTGCAGATATATCCTCGGCCAGTTGCTTGGCTGGTGTATTCTCATGCGGTGAGGATGCAGTATCTGCTTGGTGTTCTTCGTTAGGACCAGTGTATGCATCACTCATATCAATCCGAAAAGATTCCTCATCATCGTCTTGCCCGTCTTCATAATCGGACTGATTTTCCAATTGGAAATCTTCTAGAATACTGGCTTGAAGTTCCTCATCAACATCCATGTGCGATGTAAAAGGTCCGCTAGCATCTGATGCATCTGCACGACTCTGGGAAGATAGTCTCCGGAGGATTTGAGGCTCATGCTTTGTTTCCTCTACGCTGTCGGACAAACCAACCTCTGTGTTATCAACTTGAGTCTGAAAGCTGCGTGCTGGGGAAGAGGTAGTAGATGATTTGCCCGAAGAATACAGCTGTTGAGGCTCTATGATTGGGGCATTCTGGCTTTCTTGCTCAATGCTGTCTTCACCCGTACTCATCTTGTTGTCCATCTGCACAAGGTTTTTGGGTGACTCTTTATCAATTGAGCTCTCCCTCGTCTGGTATTGTTGTTGCTCAACGGTCGTGTACGACTCGAATGATTCTCCAATGTTTGCGGAAGTGCTTATAGAAGCATTTAGTGTGGTATCTGTAGTTTGTGTATTTACTACAGTGGGGAACTGCGTAGTAACCAGCTCAGCTGTCGAGGTCGCTGTCCTCCCTTCAACTGTAAATCTATTATCTTCGATGCGTGGTGGAAGCGCCTGATTCGAGGGAGATGGGGATGAAGCAGTCGCTGCAGGATATTTGTCGTTGGTGATGGGAGGGTGCGTAGTGTCTGGTTTGGGAAATGGTAATAAATCGGCTTCATGCACACTGCGGCTTTGCGTTGGATGTTCCTCTGCTATCTCTTCAACCGCTGATAAATCCTGAGGTAGCAGTTGTATATCAGTTTCATCACGTGACAGGGCTGCTGGCTGCTCAGCGCCAATATTTTCAACAGTCGGCTCGGCAGATAATCTATCATTGCGAGCATCCGACTCTTTATTAACCGTGCGGCTCAGTATTTCGAGACCATCAGCTGCTGAGAGAGGCACAGAGGGGTTCTCCGAAATTTCCTTGTGCACAGTTTGGCCATACGATGTAACAATATGACCCTGCATCTCACCAAACACTACAATATCCTCAGGGCCAGCTTCAAGCTCAGGTCCGAGTTCGAGACCTATTGGCTGGTTCGCATCGCTTCTAGAGAACTTGAGTTCCCGATCCCCTTCTTCATGAATACTCGTGCATTCCTCACCATCCTGACTGGCGTCAGAGGAATTCGGAGCCTCAGACACGGATGCTTGTGAAATGATCTCGGCTTCCTCATCACCAAAGCGGACTTGTCGAGGTTCATCCTCTAAGTTCGTTTGCTGGTGGTCGGGAACTACCCTGGAATCAATGTGAGCGCTGGATCGTTCATTGCTTTTATTAGTGTCACCGCCATCGTATTCATCGCCATCTTCACTTTCGTCTTCCGAAGAGGAGATTAAATCAATAACCATAGGGTTGGCTCGTACCGCAGGCTGAGGGCTAGATTTGGGTATGTCCTCATCCGTCTCATATTCACCTTCGTTCTCCTCATCGAGGAACTCTTCTTGTTCCTCTTCATCCCAGCTCGCGCCGTCATCAAACTCGGACTCCAAAGGCGGAGGTTGAAGATCTTCGTCAAGACTACCTTCGTCATCGTCGCCGGGTTGCTCATAATTTCTGGTATCATAATCGCCACCCATTTCCTCCGCATCGTACTCAGGCTCATCATCATCAGAGTACTGTGCATCAACCTCATCTTCAGCTTCCGCATCCTCATACATGCCTAGGGTATAGGCACGACCACTGTTCACAGTATCCTCCACCGCCATCGGTTCAGGCTCGGAATCAGAACCCGTGTCACTCTCTTCGATAACAAAGGCCTGTTCTGGTGTGCTACCATTTCTACTTCCAAGACGGTCTGTAGGGGCTGCAGTAGTGGCCTTGTAGCTTTGGTTGATCGTGGCCCAGGAATTTGGTCTCAATTCAGCTACTACGGCATGAGGTGGTTGTCCTTCCATCATTTGGCCATGCTCAGACAGACCATCGCCCTCCAAGTAAGACGTGGGGTAATTGGTCAGAGCTTCATCGTGAACGCTTTGGGGGGTTGCATCTTCATTGGGGTCAAGCGGTGGGTAGTTAGTCCCTGAAGGGGTTTGCTCGGCTGAGTACATTACAGCATGATCCACCGGCTCTTGAACCTCGCCGAACGGGATGGACTGGTGACTAGCCTCAATATTATCAACATCTGAAGAGGGGAAAGATCCATGTCGAAAGGACGAAGACAAATGTTCCTGTGGTTCAAAAGCTGGTGGCGCCAAACCGATACTCCACGGATTGCCGGCCAAATCGTAACTAGAAGGAATAGGTTGCTGATCAGAATGGGAATCAGAAAGGGGAAAGGGCACTCCCGGTTCGGGAGGTGCGACACCGTGAGGATTGGGCATAGACGGATTCAAGCCAGTTGGTTCTGGGAGCCAGTCGTGCAATGGTGGCGTTTGCGTCCTCTTGCCCATAGAGCTGGAAGGTATATTGACTGGTACATCTTCCAGTATAGCGGCTTTTGGCGCCGTTTCATCGACTTGCGTATCTGGACCAGTCTTAATAGGCTGAGGTGAGGGCTGATCTACCTCTGTAGTCTGACTTCCTTCATTGACCATGTATATCTCTCTTGACGAATAAACGGCCCTAGCTGGGGAGCCAAGCTGTTCATCAGTACTCTTTGGAGACGCGGCAGCGAGATCAGGGCTAGGTGAGCGGCTAGCATATCGCCAGGAGCTGCCATCCTGACCAAAGCGTGTTCGCTTAGGTCCCTTCCACTTCGAATTGCTGTCTTCCTGGAAGATATCGAACCCACCTTCGAACAATGCTCCATATGACATTCTAGCCCTCTTGATAAATGCAGGGGAGGCGAACTCGATTTCATTGGATTTAGTAGTATTCGTCCCCTGTGCTATGGGCGTCTGTAGAACTGGGGAAAGAGGAACAACCGGTGATGGTGATCTAATCAGGGCAGATGGCTGAATGGGAATCTGATCTGACGCTGTTCGGGTTTCATCGGGGCGTTCGTCTGAGCGTTCGTCAACAGTAATGAGATCTGTCTCGCCAGTCTCGGCTCGTTTTATCCTGAGAGTTAACCGCCCGCAGAATACCAGTCTCCATCCCAGATCTGACCCCGGGAGACTCCGTCGCCTATCTACATCCTCAGCTTCCCAGGCGGCGCCCTCTAAGCTTAGGAGAATCTCATCATTGCCACCTAGTCCAGAGTCTCCAACAGCCTCGGCAGCTTTTCCTGTAAAATCTATTCTGACCTGGCCCTTATTACGACGGAGACGAAAGTCGGGCTCAGCAAGATTGAATGCAAATGTGCCTTTGACTTTGTTGTATGGCCAGGTGATGGTGACTACACCGCCTACAGCCTTTGTGCTTGGATCTGGAAGATCAGGACACAACTTCGCAATGGGTATTATCTGTGCTGTCTCAAGCAATCGCGTGGGAGTTATGGTATTTGTTGGGTCCATAGCGAGGGCATCGTCGAGGATAGTCGCCGTTGCGATACGCGTAAGGAGCTCCGTCTTCAGCGTCGTTTCAGCAGATGCTCGGTCGTCCAGCAGGAGAACAGGTAGCAAGGCTGTGTCGGCAGCGATATTATACAGCTACAAATGGAGCAAGCGAAAGGAGATTCGATGGAATACAACTAACTCAGACAACCGATTAAAATAGGGGGATACGCGACTACGTATCAACTAAGCTATGGGTAGGTAGTCGAAGAATGGTAGCTCATGATAATGGTTAAAGAGGTCCCACTTGCCAACAAGCTCTAAAAAAGTGTCTGTAGGGTAGCGTAGCTGACCCCTGTACACCGGGGCCACATCGCCTACAGTAATAATTACCTACAGTGAATAACTGTACAGCAGCAGAAAGCCACCATGCATGTGGCCTGAGTGAGCACCTAACCCACACCCTACCTGGTACCGGTACTTACATACCAGTAGGGTTAGGTAAGCAGGTGGTCACTTGAGATAATGCCTACATGTATATACCCTGTATATACATAGATACCTACCTATCTAGGGATTGCGGCTGGGGTCCATGCAGGTTCCCAGTATTGCATGCATCTATCGCGGCCCATATGTTGGCATGTGATACACACCATGGGAAAAGGGGTACTACCTGGTAATTTGATGGTATGATTATATAGCAAACAAGCGCAAACAACTATGCTGTAATTTACATTATAGAAAGCCCTTCGGAAACTTTTTGTGTACGTAGTGTAGTGCAGTAGAAGGAAACGAAAGCCAATCAATGACAAAAGTCCATCCGCCATCCCTTCCGCAAACCACGGATATAACATCTAGGTAGTCCATTTAATTTTGAGGCATGTTTGACAAGAACGTGGCCAGCACAGCCAGATATGCAACGATGATGACAACCATATGGCCGATGCGCTGCTCGACAAGGATCGTACCAAGCGCAAAAAGGGCGCCAAATCCCGCCACAACCCCAAAAGCAAGTGCCTTACTGAGTTCCCCTAGATACAGGAGACCAGCAGGCACAAGCACCGACGATAGGCCGAACAAGACCACGAGAGCCTTGCGAAGAACTTTAAAGCCATGTGTCCCTATTCCATCGTATTCTTGGGAACTGTCGTGTTCGGGCAGAACCTTCTTTGTAGGAAGCCAAGGAATTATCTTCTGTAAACGGTAGGTAAGCATGTTAGCATCACTGAAATAGTGTTGTCCTCGGATAATTCAACGTGGGTGGTTTTATAGCCGAGGCAGTGTGATCATGTAGATGTATCAGTGCTGGTGCAATTGTAAATACTTACCTCGATCAAGGGGTTCGCCGCAAGCTGTACATTTCGGATCCACAGTTCAATGGGATCAATCCCAACATATGCCATCTCATCGATGGCCCGCAAATGAACGAGGGCTTCGTTGTCAAGCCCGTGGTATTCTCGAGCCATTGTGAATAGCTGTTGATAAGCTTCCTTACCGACTCGGGGGAATCTTTTACATTTTTCGATCCAGCATATTAGCTCTCCTAATGGTTTAAAATTAACTCTGCTGCCGAGATTCTGCACATAGGTTTGAGGTCATACGATGCTTTTTTCGGAGAAACTCGATGTTTGTAAAGATTCTTTCTCGCGTATCAGTGAACTCATCTTGAGACACATATCCGTTCGTTCCGAGTGCTTCAGGTATGGAGGGAGGATCAGAGCCTGTGAAGTTGCAATCCATAAAAGTCTCCTTGTTGAACGGCAACCGACCTCTCTGGGACCCCCCCATCATTCTATCCTCTGCAACGTCAAGGTCATAGAGCCTGTTTTCTAGAAAAGTGATCTTCGTTTCGTAGAAATGTAGTAGTTTCCAGTCAAGATTTTCGAAGGTTCGAAAGGTCGCGGTGTTAGGAGCGTATGTTTGTCCAACCGCCATGGACGGAAATCCTTTAGGTGTAAGTGACTCTAGTTCGCATTAGCCTTAGACAAACTTGACGCACGAGGTTGCCTGGATGTAGAGAAGAAACTAACTAAGGTCTTCAGTATCGTAAAAATGACGGCTTGGCCCATCCAAGTACAACTGTCTTTCTTCATCAGGGAGACGGGGTATCCTCCGGCGAATGGCCTCCAGGTATATAGTGTCATGTTTAGAAACCGTCGCCATGTCATCGACTTTTCATATGCCTCTATGCACATTTAAGAAGCCGAATAGTGACGGGAGAGGTGATTAGATGCTAGACCCATGGTGTCGTTCCTGGGAGCAGTTGCAGTTTATATGTGTATAGGAGAGTGACGACGGACCCCAAGGCTATACGAAGCCGATAGAACCAACGAGGGCAGCAGAGCCGTTGCCTGTGCGCGTGTGAGGCTCAAGGCCACCGCAGGTGGGATGGAAAAACTGTGGGTGTGTGGCCATTGGTTTAAAGTGAAAGGTTTCCAGCGTCGACAAGTTAGCCCAAGGCTCGATGATGCGGTAAATAGCAATTTAGCTAATGATGGCCTGAGAAATCGCGCCGCCGAGCGAGTTTGCCATTTGTGTCCAATATTGGGGCCTTTGAGTGCTGCAACGGTTCACGGGGGCCCAATAGTAGTGGCTTTCCTGCGCTTACCGCAGCCCCCTCCTGCAGTACGTCTGCCGTCGGAACTAACGGGCGCCATCCGGGACAAAGCACTTGGGGGAGAGAGCACACGGCGAAGAGTTATGGGAATGGAGATGAACTGAAGGTAGATAGATAGGTTGATATGTACGTGGGAAGATGGGAACAGCTTTGCATACTTGTACAAAATGGTACTACTTAACTCAAGGCCGGTTCAATCTTTTCCGAGAGAGAAAACAGTGAAAGGAGATTCAGCAAGATACTTCGAAAGGCTATGTGATCAGGCCGAGAACACAAATGGGTTATCAGGTTCGGAAGCAATAGGGCTTCATCTTCATGTCGGCTAGCTGCTGGCACTTGCTCAGCCCGCCTATAGTTTTCGTTTGATAGGACCCTCGTGCCCAACCACGAACTAGAATAGAAACACTTTCCAACCCATCACGCGGAGCTGCGTAACAACGATCACTTCCTCTTCGAAATATTCCAAATCATGCATGCTTAATGATGAAATGTTTTGATCGTTGGTGCAGGGAACTAGCAATCATGGTGTTTCTGATTTCGGTGAATACTTGAGGGGTTGGCATTGGATTCCCTATAATTAACTGCTTTTGCTGCCTGTATCGCAACGACTGTGTTACCGATCTGGGAGCGGGCGCTGGTGTCGTTGTAAAGCCAATCCATTGATGGGGCTGTGGTAACCTGGCACATCGCTTCACTGAAGCATGAAATGAAGATTTAAACTAGAGAAGGACTTGCTTGAGGAGAGGGAGTCAATCAGGAGCCCTGGATGGTCGGATAACGATGAAGGGAACAAACACTCTAGCCAACAGACATCACAATGCAGTCTAGACAACAGCGCTTTTAGCGACACCCTTACATGATCAACAACAGATCACTTGGCAATAGATGAGTGATAGCGGGTTCGCTTGTGAGCGGACATGGAATGGGGCAGTCAAGGGTGGCGTATATCATCATCTTTAGGGTGACTTTCGCTCGACAATCTAACAATAGTCGTAGGCGATGGTATAGACCATAGACCTAGCTGGGCTGTGATGGAGGAGGGAGCAGAGAGGGAGTAAGAATAGATAAGAGCAAAATGACGACAAGGTCACGAGCGCATTTGTTACCGTATGTAGAAGAGAAGCCCAGTCTCAAGTTATCGGCTACTTCTCGCGAACCAGAGAGTTTAATACTATGTGCGTGCCCCAACGACCCCTCTCTTTGCTCCATACTGTACATGAGCCATTGTTCTACGCTTCATCGACCCACACAACACCACAACCCTGTCTAGTCCGTCTACTAACGATGCCTCCTATATTCTGAAAACACCAAACTTCGGAGATGTGCCCGGCCCCTGTATCAGGGGAGCGCCAATGGCTTAGAGACAGACCCCAACTGCGTCCATCGCCCCCCTCGATCGCAGTCTTACATAGTGCCTACCTGATAGGTACATACCATAGATATGCTGCTGCGCGGCAGGCCGAAAAGAGCGTCTGTGCCTGAAGCAGAAGGGGGGGGAGCACGATCAGGTGGAGCGTGGGAATAAACGAACCATCAATGCCTGATCCCTGGTCTGCCCTGGCTAACTAGGTACCCGAACAGAACAGGCACGCCTGAAGCGCATGATTCGCCCAGTTCGCCCAAGCAGAACATTTCTATTTCGCGTACCATGGTCAGGCATGGCCAGGCATGGTTTAGAGGCTTGTGATTGGGGCTTACCGTCCAAGTCCTGTAAGTACTGTACCTAGCTAGGTAGCGTGAGAGCCAGATCCCCTTACCCACCGAATACTTAAGATGCCTGCATTCCCCGGATTTTCAGCACGGGATGACGTACGTCTTCTAACGCTTGACACATCGTACCTAGCGAGCCCAGCAGTCAACCTTCACAATTGCTGAGCAACCGTGATTCTACCAGCGACGTCCAATTCCTGCGGCCTCAATACTGACACGATCAAAGAGTGTTTATGTCAGAGTGGGAGTGCAGCGCCGCGAATGACTAGCTGTGGACTTGTTCCCGAAGCAAAAGAGAGCGCACCCCTCATTTCGACGAGAATAATAGGAACGGGTCTTCGATGTCGTTGACTGCTTGATCCTCAGAGTAAAGTCTGATATGATCAAGACCAAATGGGTCTTTGGATGAATACAATTTGCGCTCTGGAGGAGGATTCAAGTTGTCTGGGCTACAAGACTTTGACAATCACATCTGTCTGCGAGTAGCTTGAATTGCGGCCCAGGAACGAACGTGGGCAGACGTGGGGCAGGGGACCGGGGCGTGTATTTTTGGCATCCCGGTATCGTCCAATCCCCTACCACGGCGCTAGCATACAATATGGCTTCTCTAGTTTGCTCTAGTTTGCTCTATTTATCCCGAGGAGGTACTTGGAGAAGGTAGAGGAGGCCTGTTGAGAAGGCCTTTCGGGTATGGCTTGCGCGCCTGGCATCTTCACAGAGAGACAGTACCCGTGAACGGTGAAGAGCTGCCTGCGCGCGGATAGCTCCGTTATCAGGACCAGGGCAAGATTTTCCGGCAGGGGTCGGGTACACAAGACGCGAGCTAGCCATTGAGGAATTGACTGGTCAGGTGCTCGGCTAGCTAACGCGATCCGCGAATCCAGACCGCTCATATCCCCAATAGACAACGAATTGCAGTTTCAAGCTTGAGACAGTCATTCAATCTTCGAACGTCTAGACGGCCCATGTACGTTGTTCTCTGTGAACATAGCCTCGTTCTACCCTCAACAAAGTCAAAATCAAGTTAGCGTCTCGTGCGTACCCTGCACAACTACCTATCGTGTCAGCCGCTACGAACATTATTTCACCGAGTCGCTATTCCCACCCACAGTATGCTCGCCGTAGGGCGAATGCACGGGCACCCCCGTCCCCGACTCGAGCATTCACCATATGGATACGGCCCAATGTACTTGGTATTCGCACGCTGGCTAGGTTCAACTATACCAAAATCTCAAGTATAAAAAGCTCCTGCCATCCTCCATTCGTTTCCACTCTTGATATCAACAGATACGTCCTTCACACGCGACTTGCAAAAGAAGTGAAGAAACGGACAGGGTTAATCTAAAGACGGAATATAATATTGGGTATGCATCTCCCTCTAATCACTACTTCATTCCTTCCTGCTTCCTAACATCGGTGTAAGGGCGTTAGTCTACGCGCTCACTCCTCCAAGCTCTGTCACCAACCCTCGAAGTCTCCGTATTGTCAATCTGGCCCGTCTACGTATAGCATCATCCAACGAACGGCACAATCGCGACAAAGCAAAGTGCTGAGGCAAAAGTCAACAACACGATGCCCGAACAAACACGAAATCCTCACCTAATAACTCGACTTCTCAAGAAGATCCCTCTCCAAACTTCTCACCAGCAACAAGAGAGATCAAATCAGAAGGCCAAGCACAAGGACAAGGACAAGGGCAAGGGCAAGGGCAAGGTGACAAGGCAATTGAACAAAGATCCTTCGCCCACAGTTTGGCTTATACGTCGGAAATCGGAGGCACCTAAAAAAGCTTGAAGAAGGACACGATTCTACATGTAATCAAGTGATCAAACAATAACATATCTACGGGTTTGCCTTAGTGAGGGCAAGTCCAAATCGTCCTTACACCAAGCCTGGCCTCAAAATCTGCATAATCTAATTAACTAAGCCGGCCTGGTACCTACTACATATAGCCCGACAAACCTGAGGCACACAGTGTGCGAGTAGTAACAGTAGGAACAATTATGTTTTCTGCATTAGCTTACCAGAGTTCCCAAGTGAAAGGTAATTTTATTCATGGCATAATCGTACCATACCATTGAGAACCAAGGTAGTGCATTCCCAGACTTTTCGTGAATGATGTCGTGCAAATAGCACGTCTGTTCGCACGTCCAGACAGAAGAAGCCTGGACGCCTACTCGCCTTCTTAATGATACACCTGGCGAGTGGCTCACTGCACCGAATGTTACCCAAGTTGAAACACACCGGATGACTGATCAACAAAACTAAGCCTACCCTTCTTCCCTAGCATGAACATCTTCGCCTTGTTTGCAGTGATATCTCACGAATTCGCAGCAACTAGTGTGCCTACCTATCTATCCTGCTGTGTCGTATACACTTTCAAGGTGTTTATAAAATGTAGTGTAGCATATCGTCCGGCGTGTCAGTGATGATTGTCAAGGCCTTGCCGAAGTCTTATCATTCGCATACATTATACCTGGACCAGGATAGATAAGCAGGGCTGCTAGGACATTCGTCAGAATCTCGGTAAATAGTCTAGGCATCCGCCTAGGACAGTTTACATCAAACCCCGTTCTAGGGACGGGACGCCGTCTAGATGCAGAACTTAAATTACTGCGTATGTAAGTACCTACTTGTTCATTCGGATCCACAAACCAGCCGGGGAGTGACTGTTTGTCATCCAATGAGCCGCATACGCTAGGGCGATGATGATATAGTGAGGCGAACACACCAGAGTTCAACGAGGTCAATATATACTACAGCCACTCCTTGATGCCACACTATTGTATTCACGGACATATGAAACTGGTGGCTTGAACCAGGGTGAATTGATCGACGGACTTGATGCATATACCGCCACATAAAGTCAAGCTAAAGTAGCGATTAGAAAGAGACAATGGATGAGTCAGGCTGAGCTAGAACAGATTTGCACGGATATAGTGGCTTGT